CGCCGGCATCGCGTCCTACACGATGGGCCCGTACGGCGGCGTCCGCGCGGCCATCCAGCTGCGCCCGTACCTCGGCGAGCTCGGCTTGATCACGATCCCCAAGATCCTTCCGTTCCCGGCCATCCACGCGCTTCTCAACGAAGACGGTTCGGTCACGGCCGGCGCGGCGGGCGCCGACTCCTTGGCGGCCGTGAGCAAGGGTTTCTTCCCCGAGCTGCTCTGGTACGCGGCCAACCTCAAGGCCGGTCGCGCTGCCGGCACGCCCTAAGTGTAGGAAGACAAAAGTATTTGGAGGCACGGTTCTCGTACACATCAATCAATGACGTTGCGTCTACAGGGACCGTGAGACCTGGCGCTCCTACTAGTAGCACACTTTGTGCACGCAGTGAACAAACCTGATGAGAATATTGTCTTGTGGGTTAGGCAGACAGGATGACGTGATCCTGGCATATGTGCTCGTGCATGATCGTCGCGCAGAATCCCGCCCGTGCTGTAGACGAGAAAGTCGACGCGTAGTCTTACTTTGGAACTAGCATTCTATCTTGGTGTTGACAAAAGTTGTGCGCATCTTGATAGTTGAGTCATCGACGCTGCTTTGCAGACGTCTAGCGTACTGGTGATGCAACGCATCACTATGACCGTCATCGATCGACAGTATTCGCATTTGCAGCTTTTAGCCTTGGATCTTAAAGCTCGATTCGAGGCTTCTCCGCCATAGTTCAGCTCGCAAGCAACCCTTTACACTCGGTATACAAAGAGCAAGTGCAATCGTTTGCTCGATAGCTTTTACATCATGTAAAGGCCAAGAGCAAAACATCGTTTGCCATAATCGATTCAACTTGCTACGACGAACATGACTGCTTACTTCGGACGCGCTACGATGGTCGCCTTGAGTGCTGGGCTGGCCTACATGATCTACTCCAACGCCACTTGCACGCCGATAGACGTCGCCGCCGACGCACCCACGACAACTACCACCACGCAGTCGACTGCTGACGAACAACAACACGATCATCTCGACACCGATCTCGACGAGCCCCAACAACTCGAGGCTGTGGTCGAGCCACCGCAGCTTGACGCTGCTACCATCCTGGAACTTCTTGAAGACACACAACAGCGCCAGTTGGACGTGATGCAGGCGTCTCTGGATGCATCAACTGCCACCGCAGCAGCACTGCAGCGACAACTTGACACCTCCGGCGCCCGAGCAGCGGCAGCCGAGGCCACGATTCGAGCTCTACAGCACGAGCGGGATTTCATGGCTGCCGACCACCTTCGCGCGATCGACGCACTCCGAACCGAGCACCAGCGCCAGCTTACAGCAGCGCAGGCCTCTTTGGACGAATCTGAACTACAGGTCGCGACTCTTCGAGACCAACTCGACACCTCGATCGCTTTGCAGGCCACCACACAAGCATCTCTCGACGAATCCGTCGAGCATTCAGCGCACCAAGCTCTCGCGTCGCTCCACGAGTCGGCTGCATCGGATGAAGTCATCCGAAAATTGCAGCTAGAACTCAACGCAGCGAGCGTGACGGTCGAGGTAGCAACGATGGACGCGGCGCGGGCTTTAGAAAAGTGGCGCCGCGCGGTCTCGAGCCGCCTGTTTGAATGTCCACGCTGCGGCGGCGTCGACGACACGCCCATCATGATCGAGTCGGAAGAAGCACCAGTCGACGACATGGAGCGGTGGCCGTGCGAGGATGCCTTGTCCATGTCGGCCATCCTCGCAGCACCGCCGCGGCTGCCATCCATCACCGAGACGATCGAGGAACTCATGGACGACGATGACAACCTCTCGTACAAACAACGCCGAGAACGAAAGCTCAGCCGACTGCGCGAGGTCGGGCTTTGGCCACTCGGGCCCAAGAAGAAGCCCAAGCCACCACGTCGAGCTCCGCGCTTGCCGATAGAACACCGCCCTGGCTTGGCCGATATCTTTGCTGGTCTGGGAGCACTAGGTTTCGGTGGCTCTCCACTCTAGTCCTCTTTTCGATCATCAAAATAGTGTAGTGTAGTAGTACAGTAAGATAGTTTCTGTAATCGTTTTTTGCACATGCGTTTAATAAATAATGTCATAGGACTGGTCAATTCGGAAGGGTATCGCTGCAGCTTGGTATCAATGCGGAATCAGTCGAGAGGACGCCGGACGCTTCCAGTCGTTAGGAGACGATCAAAACGCGGTTGTATAGCTCGACTTCGATAAGGGTGCCACAAGAGAACATCAGTTGCAGCTATTGACACCCACAAACCAAGCTCATAGTCTGCAACTAATAGGTGAATGAGCTAGGTTGATGGTGCAGCCAGTAGTTGATGCGAAATGCTTGGACGCGACGCCGACTCTGCGATCACGTGATCAGCAAAGCACCGTCCACATTCCATGCGTGTGCCTTTTTTCAGAGCCGGTAGCAGTGACGTCACTTGCTACATTCGGGCGTCCGAGCTTCCCTTGCAAGCGCCAAGGCTCGTGGCCGAACCCTGAGCCCTACCCCTCGCCGGATCCAGTGGTCGATATTTGATATTGCCCAATCACAACGCGCGATTCTAAAAATCGAATGCCGGGTTCGAAGATCGCAAATCTTGCAACCCGGGACGCCGTTCAGTCTGGCATTCGCCTCATCTTTGCCACCACACCTTCCATGCCGCTCACGATCTCGGTCATCATTGGCTCGGTCCGCCCGGGCCGCCAGGGCCTCCGCGCTGCCAAGCACGTCGAGGCGCAGCTCCTAGCGCAAGGCATCAACGTCCACCTCATCGACCCGGTCGTGCTCCAGATCCCGTTGTTTGGGAACCGGTACGACTACCTTCCGGCCGACCAAAAGACGCCGGCGCTCACCGAAGTCTACGAAAAGTTTACCGAGAGCGACGCATTCGTCGTCGTGACGCCCGAGTACAACCACGCGTACTCGCCCGTCATCTCGTCGCTCATGAACTACTTTTACCACAACGAGTTTTACTACAAGGTCGCCGGCATTGTCTCGTACAGCATGGGCCCGTTTGGCGGCGTCCGCGCGGCCATCCAGCTCCGCGCGTACCTCGGCGAGCTCGGGTTGGTGTCGATCCCCAAGCTCCTCCCGTACCCGGTCATCCAAGCGCTCCTCAACGAAGACGGCAGCGTCCAGGACGGCGCGGCCGGCGCCGACTCGCTCGCCGACAGCTCGGCCAAGTTTGTCAATGAGCTCGTGTGGTACGCCAAGAGCCTCAAGGCCGCCCGCGCCGCCGGCACGCCTTAATGTCCTCATCGTCCTGATCCTGGTTTTCTGGACCACATACAGTAATGTCATGCCAACCACGTGTCCGCTCTTGGTCGATAGTGTTGTGTGTTGCAACTGCGTGATGGCCAAGCCGCAAGCTCGACGTGCGAGGTCATCAAAGCACTCTTCTTGCGAGTCGAGCTAAGAGCCGAGGCATATTAGGGCGGTATTTGGTACCAGCGA